GAACTTCTTGTAACTTCAACCCCCAACAAAGGGAAAGAAAATCAAATCTTACCGAAAAATAATAAAAGAATAAACGAGGCTTATGCCATTTGTGATACCGAGATTTCTAAAAACGTCAGACCTTCTACTAATCAAAATAACATATGTAAAAATAAAAACGTCTGTATTGAAATCGAAAAGAAAACATCACTCAATCAAAATACAGTTTCTAAACAATATCTTATGTGTTGGAACTGTGGTGGACCCCATTTCTATTCACTGTGTTGTGGGGAAATATGAGAATTAGTAATAACCTGTAATAACTGTAACCCGAGTTCCGTACGAAATTAACAAAGTAACCGTTCCAATAATGTCGATACCTCCAGTTCAATAGTTTTAGGATGTCTTAACTTGCAGGAAAATGAGAATAAAGATTTCAGATGGTATATTAATGTATACCCGAGTACACAACCTACCGAAAACCATTTATCGGCCCTTATCGACACCGGTTCTAATAAATCCTACATTGGGACTGATGGATTAAAAAATGTGGCCAATTGGCCGTTACAAGAAGTTTTTATAGAACCCTTTTCAGGAATGCTAGCAAATGGTACTTCATGCACGATTACCAAAGAATTTTTAGTTGAAGTATATCTTATGGGGAAAAGTTTTCAAGTAACGTTACATTCCATGCCATCTATTTCAGATACAGCTATCTTAGGTACCGATACTATAATATTTCTATTTGATATATAAAAATATTTCTAGATTTTTCCAAAGCGTTTGACACAGTTGACCATAACATCGGCCTTACTAAATTGCACAATCTTCCTCTATCCAACAGCGCCCTGCGTTGGTTCAAATCTTTCCTTTCAAATCGGACCCAGTATGTTGTCGTCCCAGGCCAATCTCTATCTAAGACACTCCCCCTCTCTTGTGGTGTCCCTCAATGTTCCTCTCAATCTCCTACTCTGTTTGCTATTTACATTAATGACCTTCCCCTCCTGATCCATCATTCCCAATACCACATCTATGCTGATGATTTCCAAATATGCCTGTCCTTCCCTCCCTCCGATCTACTATCAGCCACAGAAAAACTTCAAGAAGAGTTGGATAGGTTTTGTGACTGAGCGAGAGCTTACAAGTTGAAGTTGAATGCAGAAAAGATAAAGGCAATCTTAATAGGATCCAATCACCTCCTTAAAACTGTTCCCAATATTGCAACTCTGTTCCTACATGATAATCCCATCAAGTTTATCCCTCTATCAAAAACCTTTGATCAAACCATTTTCTGGAAAAACAAATATCCAATATCTCCCGCCGTATCATTTCCAACATAAAACGTCTAAATTTCTCCCGTCACCTAGTTCCCCTTGAAACCCTAGTAGGCTCCTAGTCACTTCCTTGATTTTTCCCCACTTTGACTATTGCTGTACAGTATATGGGAGCCTCTCTGAGGATCTCGAGGTGAAACTAAAAGTTTGATAAATTACTTATTACGATTCATCTTCGGGATCCCGAGGGACGCCTCTGTATCCCGTTTTTATGCAGAGTTGAAGTGGCTTCACCCTTCCCACCGTCGAAAGTATTTCCTTAATACTTTCCACCCTTCCTCTTTCAAGTCATCCAATCTTACTGTCCTTCATAGATCTCCGACCTCCTTCAATTCAAATCCTCTGTTCGCTCCCGGACTTCTGATTTATACATAAGAGCCCACGGAACCACTGCTTTCGACAGATCGTTCATTATCCGATCCTCATCCCTATGGAACACCACTCGTTCCCACATCCGTCAATTCAATACCCTTTCTACCTTTAAATCCTGCCTGTTCAATCATTTCTTATCCATCCAGTCTCCATAAAATTGTAAATAGATACTACAGTAAATATGTATATAAATTATTAGATCGTTCTTTATTATTTTTACTTCATGTTTATTTTCATTTTTTTATTATTAACTGATTTAAGTTAGAAAATAACTTATAATTTTTTTATTATGACTATTTAATTGCTCTGTATTTTTTAAAAATGTATTTCTAAGGCTCCTTAGCCCACATTTCTGTCTTTCTGTATTATTCTAAAGGGACACGTCCCAGAATAAATAAATAATATTAATAATTATTATTATTATAACTAAAATTGGATTATGTATAGAATAATAGTCTGATAGTCATTGGTATTTTAAAGAGGACCCTTTAAAAAAATTTGACTTTGTGGAAATATCGAGTTTAAAAGAAGAGTATGCATGTCTAAGAATGTGTGTAGTATTCATATTTCTAATAAAGAAAAAAGAGAAATTTTAGATAAAATTGTTCTGGATGTAGTTAATGAACTCAAAACTTTCCAGGGCAGAACTAATAAAGCTGTTCACAAGACTGACGTGGGAGATGCAAAACCTATTAAGCAAAAGGCCTATAGCTATTCTCCTAAAGTACTTCAAGCAATGTAATCGGAGTTAGATCGTATGTTGGACGAAGGTCTGGTAGAATATATTCAGGCGGAGTGGGCTTCTCCGGTGGTAATGGTTAGAAAGAGCAGTGGAAAATACCGTTTATGTATCGATTATCGCAGGGTTAACGCAGTATCAAAAAAATATGAGGGTCCTAACTTAGCACAACTGCTAGATGGCCTACACCTAGCTAAGTATTTATCCAAGTTAGATCTTCAACAAGCTTTTATACAAGTGCCACTGGCAGACGAAGAATCTAAAGACATTACTTCCTTTATTGTGCCGGGTAGAGAACTGATTAGGTATACCGCTATGCCTTTTGGATTAACCCGATCTCCTATTACCTTCCAGCGATGAGTCGTTTCTAGCGATTTCGTAGCAATTTTTGGTCCTGAATAATTACCTAAAGTTGTTTGTTTCCTCGACGAAATTTGGTCTGTACCCCAGATTTTCAGCCGCATTGCTGTTTCTTCACTAAAGTTCTTCAAAGATTAAAGGAATCGAGACTTTAAGTAAACTTAGAAAAAGGCGAATTCGGCTATACCGAAGTTATATATTTAGAGTTTAGAGTCAGCAATGATGGAATGAGTGTCGACCCAGAGAAAATATCGGCCGTTACGGAGTATCCGCCACCCAATAATATCAAATCCTTAAGACGTTTCTTGGGAATGGCCGGATGGTATCGCAGGTTTATTGAAAATTTCTCGAATTGAATGTTGAAAATTTAATTCAAATTGAAAAAGTGAAAATTTATTGAAAAGACTTTGGTTGAACCATTATCTTCACTTCATAAAAAGAATGTGAAGTGGGCTTGGACTGAACTCCAGATTCAAGCTTTTGAAATTCTCAAGCGCTGTCTTACCACAGCCCCAGCATTATCAAGACCGGAATTAGAATATTAGGCGATTAATCAATTAATTAAGAAATATAAGCAATATCTGGAAGGCTATAATTTTAAAGTGGTAACCGATCATGCTAGCCTTAAGTGGCTTGTTGGTCTCTCCAACTCCAAGATTTTGATTTTCAATTAGAGTAATGTAAGGGCAGTTCTAATGTGGTGGCTGATGCTCTTTCTGGAATTCCCGAAACTGAGGCGATAGCAGCTGTACAAACACTGAATTATTTAGTGAAGATCTATGGTAAGAGACCAAACTGAGAAAAGTAGCATCGCAGCCAAAAGCTCATCCTGATTGGGGTATCAGGGAGGGACAGTTATGTTACCATAAGATAAATCATTTAGGCGCGGAGCTAGAGAAACCTGGAAACATGTGATTCCGATAGTTCTTAAAAACAAATTTTAGAAGAATGCCATCATCATCCTGAAGTGGGACATTTAGGAGGTTACAAAACTTACTGGCGAATAGTGAGAGGGTACTATTCGCCAGGTTTGTATAGAAATGTATTCAATTTTGTTAAAAAGTGTGTCAGAGTGAAACCATCTAATACTCCTCCCCAAGGTTTGTAGTTTCCTTGGCAATGAGTGTCAGCAGATATTATGGAACCTTACCCCCACAGTACAATACGATTTAGCTACCTTCTATTTTTTCAGGTGTATTCATCCAGTGGGTTGAGCTAATTCCATTGCGAAGGGCTACTTCCGAAATTATCGTAGAGAACTTCCGTTCAGTAATAATAAATAGATATGGGTGCCCCAACACTTTGATTACCGATAATGAAACTAACTTTGTAAGTACTTTAGTACAATTATTGGCTAAGGCTTGTGGCATTAAAATGCTTCGAACCTCATGCTATCATTCTCAGGCAAATCCTGTGGAAAGATCAAATAGGAATATTAAACAATTAATTTTAACCTACCTTAACGATAAACACAACCAATGGGATAAGTTTAGTGGAGAATTTCAATTCGCTCTGAATTCCATCTGACAGGATACTACTAGGTTTTCTTCAGCATTCCTTCAATTCGGAAGAGAATTTCAGGCGGTATATACTTGAGATTAGTTGAAAACGACCAACCTATTCAGATGGAGATCCCAAATTATGCACCTACTCGCTGGAACTCCCGTTCGAGGAAACTTAAAGAAATATACCATTTAGTTGAAGACTATTGGGTTAGGTAAAATGGCAAGCAGTGTAATAGCTACAACTTACAAAAACGTACCTTTTACCCATCATCCTCTGTTAGTAGAACTTATAAGAAACTTCACAAAAAATTTAAAGGACCATTTGAGATATTTCAGATATCTCCTTCTGTGGTTTGTGCATTAAAAGATGTCCAAATTGTTTTACACCAATAAATCGAGATATAATAGCCAATTGTATCTGCTACTGGACTGGACTGGACTTAGTTTAAGTTATTATTTTTAAATATTATTATTATTTATATACACACACACACACACACACACACACACACACACACACACACACACACACACACACACACACATATATATATATATATACACATATATATGTTTTTGATACTCATGTACTTATTCTATAAACATACAAACATAAATTATAATTAAAAACATATTATTAAGAAAACAAGGAATATTTTGTTTACCCACTTAACAACTGAAAAATGGGTTAGATTAAAAAATATATAGAGAGAGTTTTCATAACTTTAATGATAAAAAATATATAATACTTTCATTTATAATTAACATTATAGAATGTAATATAATATAATTTAATAAAAAATCAAGACTAGAGCCAAATTGTTTGTTCTGAAAATACTTTGGTACATTATTATATTATTTAACAATATCATAACTAAGCATATTAAGATTCATGCCATTTTCTTAATACATCATCACAGTCTAAGCTGGAACTTATTTTCAGGGTTGTTATATATTTTGTGCAGTGAAATAATATGAAAAGAAAGAGAACTATAGATTTCATAATAACAAAATGTGATATTGAAGTACCAATTTCAAGCCAACTTCCTTTGTTATTGACATTAAACAAAAACTGGATAGCCATAGAATTACACAGAAGAAGCACAATCATGAATAATGCTGTAGAATTAGCCTGAAAAAAAAAGAACAATAATAAAATCAGATATAATATATAATAAACTGACCAGTTATCATTTTTAAATAATTTGATTTACAAAACAAAATGCAGTAAGCAAGATAAAGACAATAAATAAGCTTGCATTACTTGTGTATTAGTACACTAGCAAATGTTCACTTAGAAAAACCAATAAGTCAGGTTGTTATACTTTTAATTACTCTAAAAAAACTTTACCACGATCAGACCAACTTTATTGTTGTTGAATCCTATTACACAATGATTTATAAGCTAAACCATATTCTGGAGGTGTACCAGCCATGCAAACACTAAGAAGTTTCTTGTATTGCTTCTCAAGTTAAAATATTGTTAGTTCATAATAACTATTCTATCTAAAGGTGGGTTTATACCAAAGATAATATTGCTAATAACATATGTCATCAACATTTTAAAGATTTTCTCAAAGAAAATGTCACAAATATTTGCTCATAACATTTCCTCCTCAGATATTCTTTGAAAATGTTAATATTATTTTTGTTTATAACTTAGTGTGTGAATGGGATAGTAATATGTATTGGAAGAGAAAGAGAAAGAGACTATAGAAGGATGGTACAAAGGATGTACACCAGACAGGCAACAGAGGAATATAGAATATGTAGAAGGGAGGACAAAAAAAGTGAGGAAAGAAAAGAACCTAGGAGAGGATGAAACTGGAGAAGATTAAGGAAATGAGGAGTGCACACGAGAGCCGACTGTTCTTTCAGAGGATAAACCAAGAGAGATCAGCCTTCCAACCCAAAGCGTAGCTTGCAAGGATGAAAATGGGATGCTTCTAAACAAGAAAGAAGAGATCCTGGAAAGATAGACCAGTCATTTTGGAGGGCTTCTAAATGAGGGAAATGGAACAACAGCCCTAGAGGAAAGAAGTCATACCGGAGAGGAAGTAGAAGATGATCTAGAAGCTCCTTCAGATCCAGAAGAGGTGATTGAGGGTGTTGGGCAATTGAAAAATCACAAGTGCCTAGGACCAGATGAAATACCTGCAGAACTCCTCAAGTAAGGTAGGGAAGAACTGCATAATCTAATTCTTTGAGTATGGAATGAAGAGAAGTTGCCAGGGGAGTGGAAGGGTACAATTTGTCCAATCCACCAAAAAGGAGACTGCAAAATGTGTTCAAATTATCACAGGATTGCCCTCCTCCCTAGCACGTACAAATCCTGTCTGTTATCTTACATGACAGATTATTCCCTTATGCTGAGCGAATGGTTGGGGAGTATCAGACGGGTTTCAGAAAAGGAAAAGTCACAATTGACCAAGTGTTCACTTTGAGAATGATAATGGAGAAAGGAATTGAGTTCCGATTGCCAACCCACCATTTATTCCTAGATTTTAAGAATGCTTATACATATTGATAGCGTCAACCGGTCAAATCTAAATGAAGCTACGGTTGACCTGGAGATCCCTCAAAGGCTGACCAGACTGGTAAAGATGACCATGGAAGGAATCTTCAGCATGGTAAAAGTTCAAGATCATTCTAGGGAGTTTTGGATAGGAAAAGATTTACACCAAGGAGATGGATTGGCATGTCTCCTGTTCATACTAGCCTTGGAGAAGGCAGTTCGAGATTCAGGAATACAGACTTGGAGAACCATTATTCATCAAAGTGTACAATTATTGGATTTCCCAGACAATGTAGGCATAGTGGTGAGGTCAAGGAAAATTATAGAGGATACCTTTCTTGCTCTTCAGTCAACAGCGCTAAATATTGGTCTAGAGATTAACGAGACCAAAACCAAATACATGCGGGTGAACAGTGAGAATAATCTAGTGAACGCCTCAGCTCTCATAATAGGAAATTTCTCCTTCGAAAGGGTCCCAAATTTTGTATATCTGGGAAAGCTTGTCGCCTCTTCAAACAACATGCCCCTCAAAATCAGACAGCGGATCACGGCAGCTAACCGTTGCTATTTTGGGCTCAAAAGGCAGACAAAGAGCCGCCTGCTCACCAGAGAAACCAAGGTACTTCTGGACAAGACTCTGATAAGACCGGTTCTTATCTATGGTTCACAAACCTGGACATTAACTAAGTCAGATGAAAAAGGTCATCTAATTTTTGAAAGAAAAATATTACAAAGAATATACAGCACTGCCAGGGAGGGTGAAGCATGGAGAAGAAGGAGGAACCATGAACTCTACAGCTTGTACAGAGACATTGAAGAAGTACAGATCATCAACGAGGGCAGGCTCAGTTGGACAGAACATATAGTACGCAGCATGGCTGAACAGAGAATACCCAAAAAAGTTATGGAAGGGATGCTGGACCGAACGAGAAGAGGAAGACCCAGGTTGAGATGGATTGCGGGTGTGGCCGCAGACTGGACGATAATTCACCAACAGAACTGGAAGGCGGCGGCGAGAGACCAAGCTGCATGGCGGAAGCTTAAGAGCCCTCTAAGGAGGGCCCACTCCAAGACCCAACTTGGGTTGTAGAAGCCAACAAAGTAAGTAAGTTATAACTTAGCGAATAAAATATGTTATTAACATTATTGCTGTCAATTACATAAGTATCATGTAAATAACTGAGAATGCCATTTCATTATTTACTACTCAGAGAATTTGGCATAATGTTATTAGCAGTTTTGTTAGAAACATGGTTAATAACATGTTGTTAAAACCAATGTAAAAAGTAAGCATCAAAATGTAATATGAGATTATTTAGTTATTCTTGAAATACTACTAAATATATCCTGGGTGTTTGTGTTATTTAAAAACACACTTGAGTTACCTTGTTAATTTTAATGTAATGCAAATACTACCACAGATAATATAAAACTTTTTGAATCTTAGTTTTGTTTCATTTAATAATTCATTTCCAAATAATAGGTGGTTACAAAATTCTTTGTACAATAAAATACAATATTCATATGGTGAAAATCAGGGACATATTAGGATGCACCACAGGTTTATCTTTTCCCTCATGGTTTGCTATATAATAGTTTTTTTGGGTATCTATCTTCTCCCATCCTTTTTAAGTGCCCAAACCATCTTATACAGTTTGATTTAACGTAAATGACTGTGGTTTGTTCATTTTACAGCCCCCAAAGTTCTCTATTATTTCTTATTGTCCATTGACCGTCTATACCTACTGGCCCAAAAATCTGTCTAAGATCTTTCCTTTCTCAGACCCGAAGAATCTTCTTGTATTTCTGTGTCAGAACCCATGTTTCATCTGAGTAAAAGTAAATATTGGTCTGATAACATTTTATAAATGGGTAGCTTTACTTTCTGTAACAGGTTCTGAAACCTCAATGTTTTCCGTAATGCAAAAAGATATCTGTTGCCTACTGTAATGCTTTTTTTTATTTCCAGTGTGATGTCATTTTTTCTCATTATGTGTGATATCATTTTTTCTCATTATGTGTGATGTCAATTTACAGGGAAGAAATGATTTCCCTGCCATAAACTATTCTCTACCTTGAACTCTTTTTATGAAGTGTTTTGTATCTTCACCCTAAATCTAATGTTTTCTTGGGTCACCACGCTTAATCCAACTAGCTTTTCTGGGACCCTAAGTACTATCATAACTTTCAGCAGTTCATTCCTATTGAGACTATCGTAAACATTTGATAATCTCTATAGGATAATAACTTGCTAAAAATATAGCATTCATTTCAATTATTTTTAACTAGCAGTAAAGATAGCAAGCATTATAAAATGAACATAAAACTTAATTAAGTTCTCAACTTATATGATCGATTAGCTATTAAATATACAATTATACTCGGGTGACACAAGTACATAACCTACACCATGCTAAAATATTCTATATTATAACAAGATGATATTAAATTTGTTCAAATTAAGTATACTTACTTTTGTAATATAGCAGACAAAACGAAAAGCAGATGTAACTAAAATGAAAGGTAAAAGAACCTTTACTATCATTAATGACATCATTAGAAATGGTGAAAATAATGTGACAAAAGAACGGACCCAAGCCATGTCAAAGGAATTTAAAGATGCTAGATTTCCAATCCCAAAAAATGATAGTATAATGTAAAATACCTGTCAACAATAGTTAAGGAAACAATAATAATAATACAATTTTAGTTAGTTAAAGTTAGTAATAGGACTTGTGAAGCAAATAATAAAGATAAACACACAGACAAACAATTTATCGTATATATATATATATATATATATATATATATACACATATATAAAAAATCTTTTTTTTTTTAGACTGTACTGCTTTCTTCAAGGTACAACTACCGAATTCATCAAAATCAGACATTTATTGGGCTGCTTGAGAACTTACGACAGAAGCCGAAAGTCAAGGTTACAAGCATATTTTATAAAAATAATTATATTTAAATAATTAATTATAATTATTTTACATCAGATAAATTAAAATGGTTTCACAGATTGGAATGTGAACCTCTAAAGGTTATTGAAATTTTTACACTAATCTACCTTAAGCCGGTTTACATTGCTTTAGTTTATCATATAAATCGTACTCAAATCTTTTCTTTGATCAATTTTCAGGAAAATAAATCTAATTCAATTTTTTTTTTTTTTTTTTTTTCTTGATGGACATGTGTAAAGACATAATTTTTTTTCTAAAATAGGTAGGAAAATTGTGTGAGTGGACACATCAGATTTTTTATTTTATAATCGCAAAAATACTCTTGGCCATCACATATATGAATTACTTCATCAAGAAAATTATCTTTAAAAAATACTATTGAAATGATTTTCAAAATATATATTCAATTCTAATAAAGGAACGTAGTATCTAAATCAATAATACTTAATTCACTAATTTAAATAAGCAATATAATTCATATTAACGATTAATTTTAAAAGTTACAGTTCATTTATAACTTATATTACATTTACAAATAAAAGGATACAAAGAAGAAACTTCTTCTGAATTCATGATTAGATAAGCTCATTTTTTCATAAGTGATTATACATCTTGAGTAATTAGAATACTAAAACAAAAATCATAGAGATATATGATAAAAATAAATAAACAAGGGTACAATAGGGTGTCAACAAATATTTATTAATAACTATCACAAAGAGGGAATAATAAAAAATACAATTAGTAGCTAACTTTACTGTTTTCATATATTAGAAGATCGATGCCAAAAAACACTAACTATAACTCTTCCATGTTAAAAATCATTGATGTCTTGCACTATATCTAACAGGGAGAATATGAAATGAAAGGTACTTGTAAAAAATTTGTTACTAAATTCCATGAAATTATCAGAAGGATTTTCGGGCTGAAGTCCCATAAAATAGAAAAATATTTTTTCTGACAGGTCCATATTTGTTTCAGTGAGTGATTTGAGCTTAATACTTAGAAAATCACAATGTTGTATTTTTAAATTATAAAGCAAATATAGTGACTAAATTTAATCACGTATCAAAAAAAAATATATACAAAAATTATTCCTAAATATATTATTACTGTAATTATGTGTTTTTGAGTTTGTTCAACACCTCCCTCCTCCCCCCCAAAAAAATTAAATACTGAATCAGCTAGTGATTAGAGGCACTTTTTATAAAAATAATGTTAACTTCAATTTTTTCTGGCAACTGTATATTTATTTTAACTTCTTCATTTTCTTTGATAATATGTTTCATTATAATAAGTTTACATATTAAAATATCTTCATGAGAAAATATGAAAATACATACGTGAGAACATCTTTCCTAACATTTAATTACTTTGAATAACTGGAGGATTAAGCCATAAGATTTTGAAACCTGTTGTCAAGCCCGTAAATGATACTCAGCTGGAAGTCATTGAAAGTCATCCATCAGGATTCCGCTCCAGCTCACAAGACCAGGTCAACTCAGCAGTGGCTGCAAAAGAACATTCTAGAGCTGATCTCTGGCTCGGATTAGATTGGCCCTCAGGAAGCCCTGATCTCAATCCACTAGATTATTGGCTTTGGTCCGAAATGGAGAGGATAGCATGCCACAGAGTACACCCTCACTTGGAAAGCCTCTAACAATCCCTGGTCCGAGCAGTTGAGCACTTTCCTCAAGAAATGCTGTGTGCTGCTATTGATGACTGGCCACGGAGATTAAATGCCTGTGTCAAGGCAAAGGGAGACATTTTGAGTTATTTCTTTTTTGTTTTACTCTTTATAGATATATTTATACATTTTATTTTCTAATAAAGTTTTTGAAAAAATTCATTTTTCTATTAAAATCTGTAAATATTTCCTTGTAACAATATTTATAACAGGACTAGGTATACAGATTTAAAATGATGCTTTAATTGTTTTATCATTTTTCTATCCACATAAAAACAATATATATATATATATATATATATATATATATATATATATATAAATCTTTCATAAAATATAAAAGTATTTGAAACTCAAAATAAATGTAAGTGCAATAATAAAATTTATAACGGCAGAAAAATATAATTCGAATCCCGCCATCGGTATCCTTTTTTTAGAAATATCATTTCATTTTTATGATCACTTAGTTATTTTTGTGACCATTTTCAGTTATTTTGCTTTTCAGAAATGAGCAAATAAGCAAGAAAGCGAAGTGTTGAGGGATCGCCGCTCTAATTTTGCATTGCTATATGCGGCCAGGAAGGCACATATCCCGTTTTTTAAAAGTTGAATAAAAACGTTAAAATGCATTTTTGAAAGAACATTTTAAACAAATTTATGCACAAAAAAGAATCCGTTTTTTTTGGACGCCTTTGTGGATTTCAGGATGCAAGGTGTGGTAGAAACTCATGAATGAGCTCCCACAGTCAAAGGGGAAGCTATATATTATATAGTATTGTTTATTACAGTACTCATATCATGGAAAAACAAGAAATAAAAACTTTGGAACACTTAATTGTAGTCATTTTTGCAGAAAATATGGGTACTTTAAGGCGACTGCATAGGAAATCACCTCATTCCCTTATAGAACTTGAGGTGAATCTAAAATTGTTTCCTAATAAATCTCAACTTAATTAATATGGTCATAAAGCTTATTAAACAAGAAAGTGTTTCTAAAAGTCGAGTAAATGTATTACAGTTAAAGAGTGATAAAAAAAACATAACAAATAATTTATGACTTCTTTTTAAACGAAACTTAGCTGTGTTTGTTCTCCCAATAGTCCTCTTTAAATAGTTTTAACAATGACTAACTCTACTTTTGTTTGAAGTAAATTTTGTCTAGTTTATTATGAAGGAATGTTTAATTACTTAAATAAAATATTGTTTATGTAATCGTTTCCTATTCAACAAAGAACGTGACTGGCATAAAAAAGACACAAATCTTAAATTTCCTACATTTCTGCTGGAAATTGGGCAATTATTTATAAGAACTTTTTTGTAGATCTTGATATCTACTATCAATCATTTAAATATTTCCCTCTACCTACGGAACACCCGCATACAGCCCAAAAAAAAAAAAAAAAAATTGAATTTCATGAAGAAATAACGAATCCCGATTCGAAAGATATAATTAATCTACATTGAAACTGTTAGTACTTAGTGGATGTGGAATTTGATGCTCTACAACTTTTATGCCATGAGTTTTTCCTCTTAGAGAACTCATTTCCAAGGTGCAAGCCATTAATAGTAATTTGTCTCAGTTTTTGACAAATTTGGTAATAATCAGCGTTCATTGACCGTGGTTATCGACCATAGCACTTAACCAAATTATTAAGTTTAGGTACTCATTCGACACACAATTTAACATTATTTAATTTCTTAAATAAAACGTTCTTCGTTTTGATGCACCGTTTAGGAGTAATAGATGAAAAACAAAAAAATATCAAATAAATCTGGCTTTTTTGGCTATAAAAAGTCTTTCCTTGGAGGCCCGTGTTAGAAATTTTGTTTTAATATGTCTGAACTCATACTTACTTGTACTGGTACTGTGGAACTTCATCCAGCAAGTGGGCCTATTGGTCCTTTTTGCCACCCCCAAAGATGATACTACCTACCAATGGTTGTCTATTGTACCTCCAACTTTGTCTCAAACCTCTGTTCTTTTAAAACCCATACTTACAAGTTTAGAAAATAAAAATTTACCAAATTTTTCGCTATGAATTTCCCGTTTCAATCCTCAACTTACTGGTAAATATTAATTAAATCAGTCGCCATTTTTACTTTCACTTACCTTTATATGAAGTATATAGTAAGGGAAAGTACTGGAATCATGAAAATTTTCGAATCTGAGTTTTGAACGGAAATACATGTTTTGAGGTCCCCTGAGTCGAAATAACCAAATCCCGCAAAATGGCGTTCGTTTGTATGGCAATGGCATTGTTCAAAAACTATTTCATAGTACTTGTGTAAAAGAAGAAGTAAAATGTAAAAATATTTCACGGATGTGTAAAACATGTTTATAACTTTAAATACATTTAATGTAGTTTAATAACTCTAGATCCAATATTATATTTAAGTAATTAGGTATCTATCGTCGGTTTATTCCAAAAGTTATCAAGTGACATTTTATAAAATTAAATTAGTGTACAATTTAATTACTTCTTCCTTTGTGAAATCACAACATTATCCATTGCATTTAGTGACAACTTTTGACTTATCAATAGTAAGCAATGAAAATATCGTAACTCCATTTTGTAAACTTTACAATTGAATAATAAAAGTTAAATAAATAATATTAGTACAATCCATTATCATTTATTGGTTAAGTCGTCGGAGTTAAAGTAATGAATGTTAACCTGCCCAACGCGTTACTTAAACATGATGCCGACGAAATATACAGATGTACTTTCAAATCTCTTTATGCATATGTAGCTCAGAGACTTGAGTTATGTGGTCGAAAAAAAAATTGAGGTTTTTATTGCCTACCGTCAATATAATAAATAGGATTTTTGTTATAAAGGTCTTAATGATTTGTTATCTGTCAGTTTTAAGCTTTAGTTCTGTCAAAAATGCACTTCAAAAATTTTGTAATAGCCTAACGTTGACAGAAAATAATTTCTATTCAAAGTACAGCAGTAAGTGAAAGTTGTGTGATGTGCACACCAGATTTTTACAGGTAGCAAGATCTGAATGGCAGACTCATTTTTTAAATATAAATGTTGTAAATATTTTTTTAAAAAATGCTGTTAAAGTTTTCATCAAATAATATACATTTTTTTCTCATGGGCTCTCGGACCACTTATGGATAATTTTTTTCTTAAGACTTGGTTATATTTTACCATTTTGGGGGGGGGGAGGGAGGCTTCAGCCCAAAAGCCTACTCCTAGTAGATCTGCCTGTGTTTCGGTCTGCTCCTGACACAATACTGTCTTTTAAAAAATTAGCTCTGAAAATGCCAGCGTTCTCTTTCAGTAAACCAACGATTGGAATTAAGTTTGGCTGACAGTTAGTGAGAATTATCATGACGCTGACATATTCAATGCGGTGAAACGCAATTTTTTAGGAAGTTGATGTTCAACCAAACTCTACATTCAAAGATCAAAAAATGTTCTAATGGACATTTATCTATAGACAGAATTACTATTAAGAAGTTCATTACTTTATAAAAAATAAACAAATATGTCCATAGATGAATATATATTACAAATAGTAAATAGTATTGGTATGTTTTTCTTTTCAAAAAAAGCACCATTTCAAGTCCATTTTGCTTTAATTTTATTCATTATCCTAGTTTGATTTCAATATAACGTCAAGTGCCGTTATTGACAGTCAAAAGTGGATCAACATAGCGACTGTGGTCGTTTATAAAGGCGAATTTTGCCCCTTCAAGGTAAGCAGGATGATAAAACGGTATCCACTGTATATTTATTTCCAATTTGAAACAAATATTTATGTACTAAAAAAATTCTCTGACTTTAACAATTTTTCCCTGACTTCTCCCTGTTATGAAATTCCCTGACTTTTTCCATTTTTGCAGGTCAGTCGTCACCCTGACATTGGAAAAATTTTGAATTCAAAGATGTACCTGGTTCTGAAGGCTGTAAGTAAATAACTATTTCACATGTTTAGAATATAGCTTCCTCATCATTTCTATTTAAAAAATTTAAAAAAAATCTTACTATTTCATTTTTTATTTTTGCTTGTTTTGGAAAATTTATTTCATTTTCACATCTTTATTATCACTGACATTTAACATAAACTATCTGGTGCACATTTTTGATCCTTATTTGTCTATATGTAATGAAAACTCCTAAAATAAAAAAAAATTATGGATCCGCAAATACACACACACATCTCTGAGATTTTAATTTTAGTTGTAAACTGAACAGAATATTTCAATAAAAAACGTCTAATAAATCACATAAATTTAAAATTTTATATAACTTTTCAGACCCGGAACTATGGTTTTGCCGTTAGGGTCAAGCTTAATTTTCCCATCCCTTCTTTTACTTTCCTCTGCCTCCACAATGAAAGTTTTTTAGATAATGTAACTGACTGGATTAAGGTCAAAACAATCAAACAACAGAAATAAATATTTTTTATTAAAAAAAAAAAATAAATGAACTAGCAATTTTTGAACTGTATACATATCAATAGCTTTGTGCATGCATAGTAAATGGAATGTGATGAAAATGATATGGGATCATCCACTAGCAGATCCAGGATTTAATTTGGGGGCTTCAGCCGAAAGCTTTTTTTTTCTATACATACATGTATATACAGGGGGTTTCAGAGCTAAGTTGCCCAACTGCAAAAATGAACTAAGGACTTCAAAACAAGAAAAAAAATTTTCTCTGAAGGCATGTCCTCAAACGCTTTGTTTAGGAGATATTCATACCTAAAGATTTTTGTTGTTTTGAATTATTTACATTATATGAAATAAATAAAACCTGAAATATTCCACTACAACTGAGAAGAGACATGTGACTTCAATTAGATGGTTGTCCTGCACATTATGGAAGAGGTCCACGACAATGGCTAAATGTTAATTATCTCAATCAATGGATTGGCCATGAAGGACCAGTGGCTTGGCCTGCACGCTCTCCAGACTTAACACCACTGGATTTTTTTGTTTGGGGTGATATTAAACAAAAAGTCTATGCAAGTCAGGTCAATGACCTTAATTCCTTACGAAGAAGGATAATTAAATCTTGTGAAACAATAACACATATCCAGTGCCGTTCTGCCATTGCTGCTGTTGAAGAAAGATGCCAAGCCTGTCTTAATGCTCAAGGAAATCATTTTGAACAAAAAAAAAAAGTTTTGTTTACTTAATATAATGTAAATAATTTATAACAATGAAAATCTTTAGGTGTGATTACCTCCTAAACAAAGTGTTTGCGGACATACCTTCATAGGAATTTTTTTTTCTTGTTTTGAAGTCCTTAATTCATGTTTTAAGTTTGGCCCATTTAACCCTGAAACAGCCTGTATAATGATAATTACTTGGGGAAAAAAATAAAAAAAATAATTACCTATATGAAATGATGTTTAACTGATTATTGAAATTCTTTAAAAAATATAATCACACGAACAATAATACTTCTAGAATTTTTTTTTTATTATATGTGGTTATATTTAGTAGCTGTATATGATTTGTAATTTAAAAAATAGAATATATTGTTATTGTTTAGGAATTTAGCTTAGATCACTCACAGTAAACAAATATTCACCAATGAAAGAAAAATAATTTTTCCATTTTGGAGGGCTTCAGTCCAAGAGCCCTCTTCCCCCCACCCCACCATTGATCCATCTAAAAAATTGTTTAGGCATCTATTTTAATAAAGTTTTGGAAAATACCTTGAGTTTTACATAAATCTCTTACCTTTTCCAGTTTTCCCTCTTTGTTAATAACAGGTTAAATTATTATTACTTAAATAAAGATTATTTGTTAAAAATGTAATAATCCTGGTATTAATAAACCATCAGTACAGCCAAACAAATGGCAAATATTTGCTTAAGTGTTAAATAATTTGTATTGGATGAATAATATGGCCACTACATTTGGCTGTTTGTAATCTGTGTGGCTACACTACAAAACACAGATGTACACACATATTATACCTGCGTGCACACTAACTCAGAAGAGGGTGGTATACATGAATTTTCATCCATGTACATAATACAAAATTATTTTTTAATCAATCCTTAAATATTATATTGTGAAATAATAATTCTTTTCGTGTATTAGGTCATTTAATAAAAATGTAATAAACTACATTAATTTTGGAGTTTATTATCTTTATTTGATGATGTTTCGATCCCTTCTTTTCTTATACACATTTATTCATATATACAAAATGGAAAACAATACAATAACAAAAGATCATAAACATTGTTCCCACACAATTAACTGTATTTGAGCTATCATTAAAAATTAGTAAGACTAATAAATTTAAATCTCATATCCACTAAATATTCTGATTACATTGTGATGATTTTAAAATGTTATTGTATTTATAATTTAATTTTGCCAGGTCATTGTGGTTGTTAATTACGTCTTTGGTTCTTCCTATGTGTTTCATTTCCAGAATCAACCTTTTTTTGTTGATTCTTTTCACTATCTAATATTTTAAGCTCAACAAAATCTATTTGTATTTAATTATATTTGCATTACAGGCTAAAACTGTCACATCTTTTTTGCTTTCAGTGTTATATTTATGAGCATAAATTCTTACTGTAAGATACTGTGAGGTTAGTCGTATATATTTACTGCCCTAATCAGAGCACTTTATTTTGTAAACAACGCTTGACATCAAATGAAGAGAATAAACTCCGAAATTAATGTATTTTATTAAATGACCTAATACCCGAAAAGAATAATCATTTCACAATATATATATATATATATATATATATATATATATATATATATAATGGGCGAACGACTAGATATCTCAAATCCCAATACAAAGATTTACCTCAGTATTCGAATCTGAGATCTTATCTCCATTATCCTATGAAGGTTTACTGTAGGCATTATCCCAGGAACTCGAAAAAAAAATCGACGCGATTACAGTCGAATGTTTGAATGTAAATTACAAAAGAGTATGTTATTCTGAGTAAAAAGAACCTTGTCTGCCATTCCAGGGCCGCTGCTTTCAAAAATGGCAGCTGATTTAAAGAAAATAGGCCAGTAACTCGAGGATCAAAACGAGAAATGCATTGCTTAAAATGTGAGAAACGTTTATTTTTTTTAACTTGTATATATGGGTTTAGACATGTCAAATACAAAATTGCTGACATGGGCCACCAAGGGAAAACTTTTTACAGCAAAAAAAGTAAGATTTTTTAAATATTATTTTGTCTTTTCACCTATAACCCCTAAACGATGCATCAAAGCAAAAAATGTACTCTTTAATAATTTATAGAAAGTTAAATTGTGAGTTGAAGGAGTACATAAACTTAATAATTTGTTTACGTGGTAATCTATAAAACCACGGTCAACTAACGCTGATTTGGTAAAAATCAGTCAAAAATTGAGACAAATTACTATAAATGGTCCTGTAACTTGGAAATGAGTTCTCAAAGAGGAAAAACATATAGAATTAAAGTTTTAGAGCATCAAATTTCTCATTCACTCAGCACCAACTATTTTAATGTAGGTCACTTACTCTGAACAAAATTGGTAATCTCCCGATGGTTAGACATTGGTAATGAAGATATAGGCGATTTTCAATATCAGCAGCGAAGGATTTTGATAAACCATGTGTAAAAGATACTGAATTTCATAAAGGAATAATAAATGCCAATTCGAGATATATAATTGGACAACAATAAAAATGTTAGTACTCATTGGAAGTAAAATTCGATACTTTACTACCAGTAGTTAATTCTATGGGTTTTTCCAATAAGGGAACTCATTTCCAAGTTACAGGGTCATTTATAGTAAATTGTCTCAGTTTTTGACAAATTTGGTAAAAATGGGCATTGCTTGACCATGGTTTTATACCTTACCATGTAACTAAACTATCAAGATTATGTACTGGTTCGATGCACAATTTAGCATTCTGTAATTTCTTAAAGAGTACATTTTTCGCTTCGATAGGAGTATAGGTGAAAAAACAAAATAATATCGAAAAAATCTTTCTTTTATGGCTATAAAAAGTTTTCCCTTGGTGGTCCGCATCAGAAATTTTGTTTTTAACATGTCTAAACCCATACATGCAAGTTAAAAAAATAAAAACTTTTCTCACATTTTTCACAATGGATTTTCCATTTCGATCCTCAAGTTACTGGCCTAATATTCTTTAAATCAGCCACCATTTTTGAAAGCAGTGACTCCGGAATACCATACAAGGTTCTTTTTACTCAGAATAACATATACTTTCGTAATTTACATTATAACCTTCGCTTGCGATGAGGTTGATTTTTGGGCCCTGGCTCCAGGGCTATATGGTATGGTATGACAAGATGGACTTCAACAAACAGACAAAGCTACCCTTAAAAAGCTGAATGTAGGTCACGTTAGGCCAGTAATCCCTTCTTTGATTTGTAATTAGTCCCATAACTTATTTGATGATTCTGAAGGCTGGAAGATGATGCTACATACCGTTTTATATGACAGCACATATAAAATTCCTGTTTTGGGTCTAATTATATTGTAGACATGCAAATGCATAAACCGTTATAGAGGCCAATGCTCTGATTTCTATGAACACAATGACATCATTAGAGAAAAAAAAAAATTAAAAACTTACCTTTATAATTCTTTCAAATAATATCCAACACAGAAGATTAGGGGCCAGGAACAAAGGAAAAATTGCTTCATAGGATGAGGAGAACATCAAAAAAATCAAACCCACAGAACAACTCACAGTATTAAATCGAGATATTAATGTGTTAGGTCCACCAAACATAAGGCCAAGAAACAGCACTAAAAAGTCATCCTCAATTAATATTTTGTAATAGTTCATGTGAAATTTCAATGGGTACTTGTATGAATATTTAATTTTTATTTGTCAGTGAAAATCAGTTTATAACAATAAAAATGGTAAAAGTCCCAATTTTTTCTGATACATATTTAGAAAACAATTAGTGTTGAAGGAAATGGTTGGGAATAGAGCTACCTCACGTGTAGACACGTTTTTTTTCTCATGCTGTCAACACCTAGCTTATTAGATATCTTATATTTTTTAGCTTATAATATTATTTCCAGCCCCATAACTTCTATTAAAAAAATATCTTTTTTTTCTTTCACCATGAAGTCTCTGATAAAAAGTATTTAGTTTAAAATGTATTTTATTAGCTTTTATAAAGAATAACTGAGATAAGTTCAGAGAGTATAGTGTTTAGAAGCTGTACACACCACACTACACTGGATTCAGGGAAAACCCCAGTCCCCACCACAACCCCCAGACACACTGTTTTTTCATGTTTGTAGCTAAATATGACCTTTTTTTATTATTTAAAAACTTATAAAAGTTCTTTATCACTTTAATTCTATTTCAGCTCAAATTTATAAAATTTTATTTCCATGCAAGCACCCAATTAATAACCAAATAACAACATTAACATAATATAGTACTTTTTTTTTCACGAACAGGCCTTAAAGAAAAACCGAATATCACGAATTTCATGCTTCCTCTTCATCTGCCTCCTCTTCTCACACATATATGAAATCATAGATAAATTCAGATAAGAGAGTTCACATATTTTTACCCATAAACAATGTGGGTAATATATAATTATCTATCAGATAACATTAAAGTGATTACCAGACCTGGAAAACGTGAACATTATTTTACACATATTCGGAAGATTGATTACTGAGGAGATGGATAAATAAATTATGTTGAAATGAGGTCAAGGATGATGATTTGCGTATGGAGGTTGGTAGAGAATTCCAAAACAAGGTAGCACGCTTGACAAAGGATTTTTTAAAAATTTTTAAACAGTTCTATGAGAAGGAATAAACAGGTTTGAGGGCTGGGATCTTGTGTTGAAGGAATGGACAATGAATGGTAAGGATGTAAATTTAAAAAACTATTGGCACATATAATTTTAATTTTTTTTTTTTATGTATCCAAATAGTTATTCCCTCTCACTCTCTCTCTCTTTCTCTCTCTCTCTCTCTCTCTCTCTCTATATATATATATATATACACCTCCATGACTGCAATTACCAACCAACTTTCTCTTATAAGAACTAACAATCAACAATTTCTCTACTATCAAAAGTTTATTTTATTAGAATTTTTTTACACATTAAAACAAAGACTAATAAAAGAAGTTTTTCTATCAGTGGATTTACTAGTTTCATCAAACTTACCTTTCTATTAGGAGTAATTTTTGTTTTTTAGGTTGAAATTGATTTATTAGTTAGTAGATGATATGTTAAAATACAGATATATTAAAACCTAACAAAAGGGAAAATAAAACTTACCTAATAAAAAATAAGATATGCACTGATTAACTAGAGGTAAACCTTCTCCCCTTTTGAAGCTATTTGTTATAGTATAAATATTCCAAAGCAGAAGAGGTGTAAAAAATAATTGCGTTAAGGAAACAAAATTAAATTTGAGACCAAGGTATTTGAGGGTTGAACTTTTATGTAGTGTAAATTCAACAATAATCCATGCACATCCTGTGAAAATTCTGAAAAACAATATAAAGCATCTTTAACAAATGAGATGGAGCATATGATGAATTAATATATATATATTTGTAATATTTTTTTTAGAATGTAAATTATAATGTTATAAATCAATCATGCAACATAAATATGAAACATACTTGAAAAATAGTTGTTCTTCTCCTCCTACAATTGGTAAAAAGGGAAAAACCGACAATCCAATACAACTTAAGTACCAAACTAATTTGTATTCTTTTGGAGCATCTACAAGTTTATGGTTCACCATAGGCCATACACAAAGTCCAAATAGTATTAATGATAATAACCATCTTGAAGTAAATGAGAGAACCTATATAAAAAATATTAATTACAGAAACAATATAATAACTGAAACTTAAAGGTATTCTAAACTTAATGTATTCTGAAGCTATTCTGAACTTATATTATTAAGTATAAATAATACAATATAATATTATACTATATATAAATTAAGCATCCTAAGGTTTTTGAAAATAAAGTATTGCGTAGAATATTCGGACCGAAGAAGGATGAGTTAACCAGAGAGTTCAGATGGTTACACAACGCCGAATTGTGTGAACTGTATCTGGGTAATATAATTGAGGTAATTTTATCGCGGCGAATCAAATGGTCTTGTAAAATTGTTGGGCTTAGTAACGAGAGAATTCCTAAAAGGTTAATATTTGCTGTACCGAATGGTAAACCTCCGAGGGGTAAACCGAAGCGAAGGTGGGAAGATTGCATTAAAGCCGATCTGAAGGGACTGGGTTTGGACGGCAAATGGTGGAGGGAGGTGTGTAATAAGCGATTGGTGGTGTTGGCATCGAACCTTCGGGTTCGCTAAGCCTTTTATTATTATTATATATATAAATTGATCCTTATGGTATTAGGTAAGAAATTAAATGTTTTTAATCCCAATATTTATGTTAACGTGAAATAAAAATTTAGTCGTTTATTTTATTATTTTTAGAAATTTTAATTTACAATAATGAGCAATTATTTACAGTTACTAATGAAAGCTGCTTTTGAATGGAATATTTAATCATTTGCAAATTCAAGGAAGGAAACTCTACTTCCATAGGAAAATATTTTTTTCTGAAGTGTATTTTCATAATTAATTTACTGAAATAGATGTCAGGTCACAAGAAAAAGAAGGAACTAAAACTTTGTAATAATTTCTCAGTTGTTATTTTTTCTGAAAATACAGATATCCTGAAGTGAAAGAATATCAAATCATATAATTTTTCACACAAATAGAGGTGAATCTCAACTAAAACAAACATCAAATAAATTTATATGCAATTAAAGCTAATTAAACAAGGAAGTTTTTAAAGAATTGAAGTATCGATGATGAAAAACATCATGAATAATCAATGATTTAATGAAAAACACAACTTAGCGTAGTTTGGCCAATCCTGTTAAAATGGTTTTGACAAAGACAAACTCTACATGCATTTGAAGGAAAATTTGTGAAGTTTATTTCTATAAAGAAATTTTTAATTATCTGAATTAAAATTTTTTTTAGTTATCGCTTCCTATGAAAGAGAAAACCTTAAGAAAAGACATGGATATGTTTATAACCTTAAATATATGTACTGTAGTTTAATAACTTTAAATCTGATATTATATTTAAATAATTATGTATCTATCATCCGTTTATTCCGAAAATCATCATGTAAAGTTTTAAAAAATTAAATTAGTGAATAATTTAATGAATTTTCCCTTGGTGATATCCCAACAGTATCTACTTACAATTAGTGTCTATGATAGGCCATGCAAATCTTGTGATTCCACTTTAGTAAACTTTGCAATGGAAAATAACAGTTTAATAAGTAAGAGTTATTTAATCCATAATCAACTGTTGATATAGTAAATAGAATATTTGTTATTTTAATGGTATTAATGATTTGTTAGCTTGTAAGCTATAATAAGTTTTGTTATTATTTAACTGTAATAACTGCTCAGCAGAGCAATGTCAGAATACAATAATGTCAAAAATTATTTAAATTAAATACTTTTTTTTCAGCCCAAGAGTGCATTGACAAGAACCCTCAGATATATGCCAAATATATTATGACCTGATTCACCAAAAAAAGTTTCATTATATATGAAACTTGATGATCAGTGATACCACTTCAGTAATCCATCTCCCCACCTTATAAGTCATGACAAAATTATTTTCTTTAACAGGAGACAAGTCCTCTTGACTGGCTAAATATTTCTTCCTATAAATACTTCTGAAGCCACTATAAACCTCACAATCGTTTTCTGTTCAAAATCAGCCCCTATATCAAATCAAATTTTTTGTTGGAAATTTTGTCTAGAATTACCTCCAGTAGATCAGAGTATGGCCATTAAGAATTGAGACATCCTGTATAAACAGGGTTTTGTGTTTTTTTAAGTAAGTCATGTTTTTTGTTGAATAGGTGGTGGTAATTAAAAAAATATTTAATTTAAGTAATTAACGATTACTTAACAGTAAACTAGACAAAATTTACTTTAAATGAAAGTAGAGTTTGTCATTGGTAAAAACATTTAAAGAAGACTTTTGTGTGGCTAAACTAAGCTAAGTTCTGTTAAAAAAAAAAAAACTATCCCTGACTTTTTTTTTATTACTCTCCAACTATACTATAGTTACCCCATTTATAAAAAAACTTCCTTGTTAAATATGCTTTAAGTCCATATCGATTTAACTGAGGGTTCATCAGAAAATAATTTGAGATTCATCTCAAATTGTGTAAAAATAATATGTGATTTGGTATCCTGTAACCTAAAAGTGCCCGAGCTTTTAGCAAAAATTACAACTATAAATTATTACAAAGTTTTAATTTCTTTGTTTCCCATGACCTAGAATATATCATAATAAATCTGAAAACTGCATAAATACACATATAAATATATACACATAAATAAATACACATATATAAATACACAATAAATAAAATAAAAACTGTATAAATACACTTTTTATTTGTAAAAAAAAACAACTATGTTAAAACTAACAATTTTTCAAATATTTATCACCTAAAGTGATCAAAACTCTCTATAATGAGAATTGATCTGTTTTTAAAAATGATCAACTAAATATTCCTAAATCCAATATTTAGGTTTTCATTCAAATAATTCAAGCAATTAGCAGGTATATTTTTAGAAACATTTATTTATAATAGTGAGCTATAACCTTAAATTGGTATTAAAATCCAATTGGTAATGAAAGCTGTATTTGGATGCAATATTCAAACATTTGAAAATTCAAAGAAGAAAAGTTTACCATCATAACGTAGCGCTTTTTTACTGAAGAAGAAACATTTATAAAGAAGTGTATAATTTATTTTAGAAATACAGATAATTGAGCAAATGGAAATTCTGCAACAATACATAGATGGCATGAATACCAATCAAAAGCATTAACTCATTATTGTAAATAAATGCTTCTAAAAATACACCTGCTAATTGCTTCAATTATTTTCATGAAAACATAAATATTGGAATTAGGAACATTTATTTTGTCACTTCTAAGTACTGATCAGTTTTTATAATAATTGTGGGTTGATGTATGACCGTAGTGAATAATGAAGAGAAGGATGATTGGGGTGATCAGTCATAATAAAAATGGCAAAAATAAATAATAACATTTATTTTAACATTTGCCGATATTTCGATACAAAGTTCAGGCCTTCATCAGGGCAGAGAAAAGTACCAGATAACAATAGGTATGAGAATCATAAACAGTGTAGGTAGATAAACTTGAAGTAAAATGAAGTAGATAAGTGAACATTGAAGTAAAATAAAGTAGGTAGAATAATTACAATAACAAGAACTAAGAAATAAATAATAATAACGGCTAAAAAGTACAGACTAATGAAGTAAACATAATCAAAATAAGGAAACATGAGAACTAAAAATGGTAATCTTAGAATGAAATGTAAAACAGAGAAAAGGAATATGGATTAAATTTCTATAATAGTGATCTTTGTAAAAAAAACAAACACAGATATCACTTTAGATGATAATTATTCGAAAAATCATTATTTTTAAATAAAATAAATATTTATGCATTTAAGTTTTTTATAATAAATCTCAAGTCATAGAAAGAAAAAAAAGGAAATTAAAGCTTTTCAATAGTTTATATTAGTCATTTTCACTGTAAACTCAGGCACTTTTAGGAGAAAAAATATAAAAGCACCTCATTTTTAAACTAACTTGAAGTGAATCTCAGTTTATTTTGTGACAAATCCTCACTTTAATTAATATGGATGTAAAGCTTATTAATCAAGGAGGTTTTTCAAAAAGAGACGTATCTGTAGTATAGTTGAAGGGTGATAAAAAAACAACAGAACTTATAACAATAACAGTTGAATGGAGGGAAAAGCAAGACTCAAGAAGTTTCCAGTGGAGTAATTTTAGCCACTCAAAAGTCCTATTTAAATAGTTTTAACAATGGCACACTCTACTTTCTTTTGAGGTAAATGACTAGTTTACTGTGGAGCCATTTTTAATTACATAAACTAAATATTTGTTTAGTTATCCCTTTCTATTAAATGAAAAACGAGACACTTAAAAATATGTAAATCTTAAATTTCCTACTTTATTTGTAGAAAACCAGACCATTGTTGTTTATGACATACAAGCTAAAGAAACTTATACCATATTTTAAATGAACTCCAGCTAACCTAACTCTTGAATTCTTAAAGGAATGTACCACTTTTATTTTATTTTTATTTATTTTTTTTTTTTTTTTTTTTTTTTTTTTTTTTTTTTTTTTTTTTTTTTTTTTACAGATTCCAATAGTTTTTTTTCCTTTATTGAATTTTATCACAATTAAGGACATAAATAGCACAATAAATAAAATAAATGGAATAACAGAAAAATAATAATATTAAAAATAAATAAAAAAAAAATATATATATATATAAACAAACAAGAAACTTAAACTAATCACAAAAACAAATTAAATACAATTAAGATTTTTATTGCTGTAAATGTTTCAAACCAAGCTTGTGGGTCATCATCAGTGCTGGTAACATGCCATGATGATGACCCATAAGCTTGGTTTGAAACGTTGGCAACAATAAAAATCTTAAAACTGAATGCATCCTAGCTATTTATCACCCGTGATAAGTAGAAAAGTCAACTAGTTTCCTTCAATAAGGCATAATTATATACAATATTTATTGACATTTATTCAGGGGTACTCTGAGCCCAGCCTTTCACCCATATATGTAGGGAAAAGCAGGACTCAAGGAGATCCCAGTGCCTCTCTCTCAACTGCTTCACTAGTATTAATGGCCAGTGGGAGCTGAGCAAAGGTGCTATAACCACAAATATACATGGCTCAAGCAGAGAATCGGGCCATTGCCAGAACACCAATAAACGTTGAGGTGAAGCGTGACCATTACAATCGTTGCATCAGCTGATTTCGGAATCTAATAGTAAATGGAATTTTATGACTGGTTCATATCAGCCAATTTTTGGATCCGACTTTCACTGGGAGTGCTATTAGTAGTAAATGCAAATAAAGTTTTTGTACCAAATTCCAAATTTCTCTTTAGAAAACTATTAAATTAAGGGTTATAGAGAATCAAAATTGCTTTTAAATGAGCTTATTTTCACCCATGATAATTATCATAAACTTCAAATTTAAGTATTGAAAAATTTGTACATAGTTCACTAAATGTTATCAGTCAACATTTTCAGTTTTCACAGATATTTAGTTTCATTTACTTCTTTTTATTTATTTTTTTTAGAGGATAGAAATCAAATCTGAAGCAACAATAAAATAATAATTCTGCTCATTGGTTACCATTTTTCATGATACTTTTTATAAAATTTATTTTTTTAAGATCTGATTTGCATTTGCCTGTGAGCAGATGTTAACGGTTAGCCCGGCCATCACACACATGTTGTGTGAGCAGCCACTAAAGTATTAACATCTTTAAAATAAAAAGTATTCAATATACGTGCAAAATTATTTCTAATACCCCCAACACAATTTTTTTTCTTCAGAATTTTTCAAAGACCTTTCTTACACCTGATCTTTCCTAAAATATCATGATGATGTCATTATAACTAAAGCTGACTAAGGAAACAAAACTGTTATCATGGGTTGTACTGAATATACGACTTTACTCCTAACTTACTGATCCAATTATGCCTCCACATCTAATGACCTTCACTTCACATAAAACCCAATTTAACCAACACCTTGAAATTTTTTTAAATTTAAAATTTATTAATTATCTAAATTACAAGAAACCTAATTTCCAATAATTCTGTTCCTCTCCATCTAGTTTTTATGAACTTTGCAGAATTCATAAACCAACAAACCCCCTCTGTCCAATTACTTCCAATATTAAGTATATTTTTGACAGACTCATTTTGCTATTGACCTAGACTCTGATCATGGCAGCACTACAGACACAGACTGTCTAGTATGTCCTTGTGACCTGCAGCAAAGTTAAAGTCTGAATCAAAATTAACCTGCTCTTATGCCACTGATAAAGGTTTTAGCCTGGGAAATTCTGAACAGACGAATAACCTACCTATAACTGCTCAACTAGTATTTTTATGTCCAATCATAAAACAAAATATGCAAATGATTTCCCCAATTTAACAAATAAAAAAAATTACCATAAAACTTATGAAGGTCTAGCATTAGTACTTTACAAGGAAAGATCATTCCCAACTGCCAGCTTTACCCCTTAATTATTAATTAAAACTACCCACTTTATAAAAGCTGAATATGCCCAACAAGGGTATCCCATCTCAAGATTCATACATGGCCGATGAAACAGAATAAATAATCATCTGGTGATGCTGGACTTGAACCCCGGAACAGGAGAGCAGAATCACAGTGCCTTACTAACTGAACTACTCCACTCTTTTAATTTAATAACCTCCCTCAAAAACTTCTTCCTGCAGCAATTCCTTTTTATATTATTATTTCAATAAGTAAACTTTCTTCTACAGCTTATCTTTACACAGCAACACCATTAACCAAATAAACAGTAACATTTTTTTACACTTTTAACAACAAAAATGATTTAAGACTATATAAATATGAATAAACAGTTACCAACCATCCTATCAAAAAATTTAAGAAATTTACCACCTCATAGAGAAGAATTAAAATAATAATACTTACAATTAATTTTAAACCCAATCCATATAATATTATTTTGGTAATTACTGATCTTTTGAATACATCAATATGTGATAGGATCCAGGAATACTTTAAAAATGTCCAGTACCACAAAGACAAAGGTAAGACTAGATATATTATAAAACGGCGCGGTAGAGCATTAACTAAAAACATAAATCACATTTTTATAAAAATAATTAATCTAAATTTATTAAGAGTATAATAATTATTATAATAAAGAAAAATCCTGTTGTTATGTTTTCAGAAAAATAGTTCAAACATAGATTTCACTTAACTACCTAAAGAGCAAAAATTAACAATTTCGAAACATAATATTGAAACAATGTAAACTAGAAACTAAAAAAAAATATTTTAAATTAATTACCTAAAGTCAATATTATACTAAATAAAAAGATAAATGAAAAAGCCATTTTCAAAATAAATATCTTGATACGAGATACTTGTGGTTCTGACTCTGCAAAAGAAAAAGAATAAATCAAATTTTTAGTTAATAGATCCTGACAATGGAAGTAGAAAGCAGTGTTAATGGAGGATATTTTGTGTTACAACAGAACACTTATATTATAAATGAAAAAATCATTAACTAATGAAAAAATAGTTAACTACTCACCTGTTGGATTTTTCCATTAATAACATAATTACCTTATGTTTCCTTTCTAGCTTTATGCTTATTTTAGTAAGTGCACTCGTAATTAAAGGAAAAATAATTAGTGCTTACACAGTAAAAGTTTTGAAGATGGGAAAGTTCTGCAAAATTTCAACATGAAAAAAATTTAAAAGAATTAAGCATTCTAAAAGAAGTGGATATTGGTAATTTAATCAATTAAAAATGAAAACTTCCTAGCGAAATAAACAAAGAAAAGAATAGTGCATTAATCAAGAGAAAATGAAAACATAACTTCTTTTACTATCAGTTATATATATTTTGTGAAATCTTTCAATAACTGACATATTTGGTTCTACAAAAATTTTTCCTTTTATTCACCTACATAATAATAATAATAATACTTTAATTATTCTGGACCAGTTCCTTTAGAATATTACAGAAAGACAGAAATGTGGGCTAAGGAGCCTCAGAGATACATCAACAAAAATACAGAGTAATTAAATAGTCATAATAAAAAAAAATTATAGGTTACTTTCTAACCTAAATCAGTTAATAATAAAAAATAATGAAGAACGATCTAATAATTTATATACATATTAACAGTAGTATCACAATTTTATGGGGACTGGATGGATAAGAAATGATTGAACAGGCGGGATTTAAAGGTAGGAAAGGTATTGGATTGACAGATGTGGGAAGGGATAGATTCCATAGGGATGAGGATTGGGTAATGAACAACCTGTCCAAAGCAGTGGTTCGGTAGGCTCTTATGTATAAATCAGAAGACCGGAAACGAGTATTGCAGGAATGAACAGAGGATTTCAATTAAAGGAGCTCGGAGCTGTATAAAGGACGGTGTGATTGGATGACCTGAAAGAGGAAGGATGCCAGGAAATACTAATGATGGTAGGAAGGATAAAGTCACTTCAACTCTGCATAAAAATGGGAAACAGAGGGATCCCCTTGGGATCCCGAAGATGAATTGTACAAAGCAATTTATCAAACGTTTTAGTTTCGCCTCGAGATCCCTAGAGAAGCCCCTATATACCGTAAATATATAATATATACTAAGAGAAAGTTTGAGATCATGAAAGTTTTCGAATGTGAAGGTTTCTAAGGTAAATACATGTTTTGAGGTCCCCTGAGTCCAAATAACCAAGTCCCATAAAATGGTGTGTATGCGTGTATCTGTGTTAGTGTATATATATATATATATATATATATATATATATATATAGCATTTCCAAGTCAATTTCAACCTTTTCCAAATCAAATTCAACCTTTTCCAAGTCAAATTAAACCTTTTCCATTTCAAATTCAACCTTTTCCAAGTCAAATTCAACCTTTTCCATTTCAAATTCAACTTTAGAATTTTTGTCAATTTTCGATTTTTTTCGAAATGAAGGCCACTTACTATATTATCGACGGCATAGCTTTTAAAAAATACAAAAAAAAAAAATTGATTACGCAGTTGCATATCCATTTATTTTAACATTTTAGATTTTTTTCAGTGTGATATCTCTATGTGATATTCAATTATTTCCAAGTCAAATTCAACCTTTTCCAAGTCAAATTCAACCTTTTCCAGATCAAATCAAACTTTTTCCAAGTCAATTCAACCATTTCCATGTCAAATTAAACCTTTTCCAATTCAAATTCAACCGTTTTCATTTCAAATTCATGTTTTAAGTTTTTGTAAATTTTATATTTTTTTTTTAAATAATGGCCATCCCCTCCCCCCCTCCAATATGAAAGTCTATTATTATGCTCTCCTAAGTAGAATTTTCACTAACGGATATCGATTTATTGTACCTATTCGGATTTCTTAGGGACTAGTATTATGCTGTCCTGTACCTAGTTTTGAAAATAACCTCCATTTTAAGATTACGTGACTGCGTTTCGAATCATTTAAGTTTTTTTGACAAATTCGATATGTGGGTGTATTTTTATGTTTCCCGATCAGTAAATTTTGAAAATGACATTCATTTTATGTTTACGCCACCGTGTTTTGACTTATTTAAGTTTTTAGAATTTATCCAATATAAAGGTCTACTTTTATGTTTCCGGAGCCGTAGATTTTGAAAACGACCTTCATTTTAAGATTAGGCCACCGCGTTTCGACTTATTTGAGTTTTTCGGATATTTTTCATATGAGGGTGTATTTTTATGTTTCCGGAGCTGTAGATTTTGAAAATGACCTCCATTTTAAGATTAGGCCACCGCGTTTCGACTTATTTTGAGTTTTTCGGATATTTTTCATATGAGGATGTATTCTTATGTTTCCGGAGCCGTAGATTTTGAAAACGACCTCCATTTTAAGATTAGGCCACCGCATTTCAATTTCTTTGAGTTTTACGGATTTTTTTCATATGAGGATGTATTCTTATGTTTTCGGAGCCGTAGATTTTGAAAACGACCTCCATTTTAAGATTAGGCCACCGCATTTCGATTTCTTTAAGTGTTTTGAATTTTTATCATAATAGAGTGTATTGTTATGTTTCCGGAGTCGTAGATTTTGAAAATGACCTCCATTTTAAGATAACGCCACTGCGTTTCGGCTTATTCAAGTTTTTCGAATTTATCCAATTTAAAGGTGTACTTTTATGATGCCGGAGCCTTAGTTTTTAAAACGACTTACATTTTAAGATTATGCCACTGTGTTTCGGTTTTGTTAAGTGTTTTTGATTTTTCCTTCGAATAAAAAACATAATACGAAGGATTAATTTATTTTTCAATAAATAAATAAAAATATCTAATCAAAATAAATAAAATATGTATTGTCTCATTTTTAATTTAATTTTAGTTATCTTTTTTAATGTGGTCTCCTATCACAAAATTATAAGATTTCGAACAATTAGCTGAAAAATCTGAATACGGAAGGTTAAATTTATTACCAGTTGCTTTTCGGCTTTTTAGTTTGTATTCTGTGGTTAATTTTACTTTAGCTTCATAATATTTATTTATTTATTCATACTCGAAAACATATTGATGAAACTTTGTATTGAAAAAATCCAAAATGAAGCCTAATTATTCGAGATGCAGCGAGATGCTTAATCATAAAATGGAGCTTAAATATTAGATAAATTTAAGTATTAAAGATTAGACAAATTTCAATACGTCTCGGATATCATATAAGTAGATCCTTATACCGAAAAAGTAAAAAAAAAAACTTTTATAATCCAAAACAGTGGCATAAACTTTAAATTAGGTCATTTACAAAATGGGGGAAATCTACTGCTCCAGAAACATAAAATTAGACCTTTATACTTGTTAAATTCTAAAAATTTAAATAAGTTGAAACGCAGTTGCGTAATCATAAAATAGAGGTCATTTTCAGAATCTACGGTTCCGAAAACATAAAAGTAGACCTTTAAATTGGATAAATTCGAAAAACTTAAATAAGTCAAAATACAATGGCGTCATCATTAAATGGATGTCATTTTCAAAATCTACGGCTCAAGAAACATAAAAGTAGACCTTGGATAAATTCGAAAAACTCAAATAAGTTGAAACGCGATGGCCTAATCTTAAAATGGAGGTCATTTTCAAAATCTACAGCTCCGGAAACATAAAAATACACCCTCATATGAAAAATATCCGAAAAATTCAAATAAGTCGAAACGCGGTGGCCTAATCTTAAAATGGAGGTCATTTTCAAAATCTACAGCTCCGGATACATAAAAATACACCCTCATATGAAAAATATAGGAAAAACTCAAATAAGTCGAAACGCGGTGGCCTAATCTTAAAATGGAGGTCGTTTTCAAAATCTACGGCTCCGGAAACAAAAAAGTAGACCTTTATATTGGATAAATTCTAAAAACTTAAATAAATCAAAACACAGTGGCGTAAACATAAAATAGATGTCATTTTAAAAATTTACTGATCGGGAAACATAAAAATACACCCTTATATCGAATAAGTCAAAAAAACTTAAATAATTCGAAACGCAGTCACGTAATCTTAAAAAGGAGGTTATTTTAAAAAACTACTCATACGATAACAGACCCACGCATCGAAAAATTAAAGATAATTAAATAAATAAAAAAAGGTTGAATTTGAAATGGAAAAGGTTTAATTTGAAATGGAAAAGGTTGAATTTGACTTGGAAAAAGTTTAATTTGATTTGGAAAAGGTTGAATTTGACTTGGAAAAGGTTGAAATTGACTTGGAAATGCTATATATATATATATATATATATATATATATATATATATATATATATATATGTGAGCAGTTTAGCTCAAAAACGAAAAGTCATATGCAACTGAAATTGCGAACTTAAGGTTTGGACATGCCTGGGATATTACTGCTTTTTCATCGAAATTGATTTTACATATTTTTAGAATTTTCTCAAAAATGGCACTAATGCTTTTAATTAAATTCATCATATCAGCGTAAAATGAAACATTTTTTGATATAATATAGATCTTATTCTCGTTTATCTTCTCCAACAGAGTTTAAAGTTTTTTTAATTTGAAATAATTAACCATTTCACACTATAACATGATATAAAAAATGGTTAAACATAAAGAATGAAGAAAATTGATTGGTAACTAAAGGAGAAATAAGGATTGGAAGCTATACAGAAACAGCTGAGAGCCCTCGACCTTAGCCTCATAAATTTTTCCTAATATTTCCTGTTCTAAAATTCTCAAGTTCTTGTTCATCAACACGGTGGGAGTCCAAGTTTTAGCACCATTAGTAAGAACTGGTCTAACAAGAGTCTAATATAAATACATTTTTGTTTGACGTGAAAACAATGATGATCTGAATGAAAAATTTTATATTTGCTTAGTATGGTTTATTAGCTGCCATAATCCTTCTGTTTACTTCGTTAACTATTT